GTATCGTGACCTGTCCCTGAGTTCCACTGAGGACCGCCCCAAGGGCCAGTGTTCGTGCAGTCCGAAATCTAGTAGGAGGTTTGTGCATTGTAGTCAGGGATTCGATCGCTAGAATAGTCTTGGATGTCCTGTGTGTTCTCATAGTTTGTAATCTCTAAGTCTCTGGCCAGATCTGACTAAGTGATGTTTAGAGAATTCGATTCTCTAAGTCATGCACGTACCGATTACAACACTTAGAACGATCGCACAGTTATTGAACTACTAAGGAGGTCTCGATGAACCAATGCCTCTAGTTCAATCGGGACATATGAATCGAAGGGATCGTACTGTACGTTAACTATATCAAAAGGTTCTTGCAGGCACTTCATTTGTATCTAGGGAATCATGACGCGTAGTTGCTAGACGCCAATCTCGATTCGTTGGGTGATTAATATGAAAGGAGCTTCATCTTAATCGTAACTCTAAGGGACGAGTTTAGAGCACAAAGGGTTGTGGACCCACGGCTAGCTTACACCTGAACCATCGAGGGTCACACTGCTCGTGCACTCTAGATCTTTGAATAAACGGTCAAAGATAATATTGTTTAATCTTTGCATGATTGGAAGTCAATATGATTGAGTCCAAATTCGTACTTTGGAATTATGAATGAGAATACGAAAAGGAAAAGAATAGGCGAATATCTTAGTGAACTTTCAAAAATTGGGAAGTTTCCAAATTTGGAAAGTCCACTGAATTAGGGTTTCCACTTTTAGAAATTGGAAATCGAGAGTTGGCACTCGTAATGACGAGGACGTTACAATGATTCCGAAAATGTAATCGTTACAATTTTCCAATCATTGAGTTGTGAGAAACGAGCGAGTAAAGAACTAACTAACTTAAGTTGTTGGGCCCGGTCCAACTTAAGCCCATTAGGGCGTTTATACAAGACACTATAAATACATGATTTATAGGTCTTGCACAACACATTACACAAAACCCTAGCCGCTCAAATCTCACACGGTCGATTTCTCTCTCTCTTCCGCCGCCGCCGCCGTCGTCGGAGTTGGCCCACGCGCCTAAATACTATCGGTAGTATTTTTCCTCTTGTCTTTATTCTTCCGTTTTTCTGACTTTCACATGTCTAGTGCCACGTAGTTGGTTGATTTCGGTATACGAGGTGAAATCCGAGAGGAGGAATATCAAGGAGTCAAGCTTCGAGAAGCATCGGCCGAGCAGACGTCGCACGCGCCCTCACGCGCCGCCCGAAGACAGCGCGTGATCCACACACGCCGCCGCTGCCAGCGCATCCGTCGCCGTCGCCTCACCGCCGCCGCTCCCGACTACACGAATTGGTTTCCGTGGCAGTTTGCTTCGATCCGAGTGGCTGCCTCACGCTTCAAGAGGTAAATTTTCGGATCCGATATTTGTTAGGTGTTAATTTAATTAGATTAAATTATATGTGTTTGTATTCGCAATATGTTTTTCATGGATTACTATATGTTTCGTGTTTATATGAAATTCATTATTTACTCCGAGCATGCTATGTGATTTATTGTCGAATAAATTAATAAGCATGATTGTTGTTTTTAATTATCGCTGGAAGCACATAGGTGCGCAATTAATTGTTTTAATTCGAATCGAGCATGTGATTATGTGAATTAAATTTTTTATTTCACTTAATTTTTTTGTTTTCACTAAAAAAAAAACTTAAAAAAAAACACTAAAAAAAAGTCTACGCCGCTAAACGTTGACCGTAATTGTGCTGTCACTGACACTAAATTAACGTAATTATACTGTCAATGACAGTTAATTAACGTAATTGTACTGCCGTTGACAATACATTTATGTAATTGTTCTGCCGTGTCACACGCATAGAGTGAGATAAATTCCGACTTTTATAACCCTATGATCCCAAGACCATAGAGTGAGAATATCTCACCTTTATAACCCTATGCCATGACACGTATTGAAGATTATAGAATGAGAATCTCCCACCTTTATAACCCTACGACCCAAGACCATAGAGTGAGATTTTCCCATGTATATCTTCAACACCATAATGAGACATGCATGATATGAAAAATCATCGGGAATCCCTTTGGAAGAATCAATCTATGTTCCCGGTAAATAACCTCATATTTTACGAATCCGTCTATCTACGTGGAATCAAACCACCCCTAGGCCCTACGGTACCGACTCGTCGTACCCCATATATTTACCGTAACCTCGAAAGATTTTTCAACATATTTTTACCTTTTAAAAATTCATGACACTAATGGACCCACACATGCACCCTTCTACTTACCCTTCTCTCACCCTCACACCCAATGATTAACACAAAAGCAAGCAAGAGCACATAGCAAAATACAAATAAAGTTTCACAAAATCATTTAGCCATAGAAACATAATCCATAATCAATTACAAGAAATAACCGAAATCTTAACATGCAAGACAATCTAAAATCAAAAGTTCATTAAATCTAACATTTTACAAGAATAAAGTTCAAGACTTTCATCTTTTCATTTTATTCAAGTAAATTCACTAGATCTACACATGCAAGAGTATTTTAAATCAAGTTAGCACAAATTCGTAGTTCTTTCATCATTTTTCATAGAAAAAACTAGATCTTAACATGCAAGACTTTAACCATCAATCACTAGATCTTAACATGCAAGACCTTAGATCAACAATCAATCACTAGATCTTAACATGCAAGGCCTTAAAACAACATCCAACACAAGATCAACACAGGCAAGATACCAAATAAACCAAATAAGCAATTTTAAGCAACTTTACCTCAAAAATTCGAAAGTTCCATAGTTAAGCCAAAAATCAATTTCTTTTCACAAATCAACAATCAAACACTAGATTAACACATGCAAGCTACAAATTAAGCCAAATAAGCAATTTAAGCATTTTCCCCCCAAAAATCCGAAAGTTTCATAACTAGGCCAAAAATTCATTTTCTTTTCACAAATCAACAATCAAACACTAGATTAACACATGCAAGGCATTAATTAAGCCAAATAAGCAATTTAAGCAATTTTCCCGAAATTTTCGAAAAAGCATAAAACTTCAAGAACAAAGTTATCTTTTCAAAACACTAACATGAAATCATCTTCTAAGCCAAATAATCACATAATTAATATGCAAGAATAAGCAATAAAAACACATATAAATCGAAAATACTAGTGGTGTTGCATGTTTGAGCAAGAATTCAAGAATTCTCACCTTTACTCTTTAGGGGGAGGATTTGTTAGCTCTTTTCTCTAATACAAGAAGAGATTAAGAGTTAGATTATATATTAAGAAAATAAGAAGAAGAACAAGAAGAACTTGGATGAAAAAGATCTTAGCTCTTTTCGGTATAAAAAAAAGGAAGAAAGAAGAGGAAGAAGGGTTTACTTAGCCTTGGCCGAAAATTCTCCTTCTATAGAAACAGAAAGAGACCTTAAACTTATATATAGTAAGAGTGGAGTTTGAGAATGCATTTTGATCTTGGACATGGGAGGTATTTATAGACTTTTTGGAGAGTTCAAAGCCAATGGAGAAGAAAGTGAAATACATCTTTTTGTGGGGGTGATTTTGCAATTTTCGAAAATAGGTGTGGTGGTGGTTCTTGGGTGGTTCAAGCTTGAGAAGGTGCTGACTATGGTGGTGGGGTGTGGCTGCCGAAATGAAGAAGGAAGGAGGAAGAAGAAAGACCTTTGGTCTACTTAAAGTGGAGTGTGGGAGTGAAAAAGCAAGCCTAGTCTAGAGAGTAAGCAGACTAACTTTATGTATTTATTTTAATGCTCAAAGTACAACCGCACTAATGCATGTTTATTCCTAATTAATATGCAAATTTTTAAATCATGTGTGTGTGTGTATTGATGTCCGAAAATTTTAAAAAATGAGGGGAGGATTTTCTAATTTTCTACACTAATTAAAAATCCTCAAATGCATGAGAAAATTTTATTTTCCAAAATTTTGTGCATGCATAAATATGATAAAATGCTCATTTAAATTCATATGCAAGAATAAAATCCTAGTTCATGAAAAATAATTTATTTCGACATAATATCTCGAAATATTTCCTAATCACAATATTCACATAATCACATATCTCACATATTTCACATAATCACATAACTCACATAGTCACATAATTCCATATAATCACCTAGTTTACGTAAATACTAATCATGCAAGAATTATTATAAATTCTAATTTCACAAATTGGCACATAGAGGTGGTAAAATAAAATAATAATATTTTACCGAAAATGCGAGGTGTTACAGTAAATCCTAGTATTTACTACGATTTCAAGATTGTCTCGTAGTAAAAAGTACCATTTGTTACGACTTTTTACCGTAGCAAAAAATTTCGTAGTAAAAAATAATTTTTTTATGTTCCTTGCCAATTTTCAATTCTTTTCCAAAATGTAGCTGTAAACATTTAGTCAAATTCCAAAAGTTAATTGCCAATTTTGAACAATTTTCAGATGTGTTTTATTTTGTTAAAATACTATTAAAATACTCAAATGTCAGGAATCAAAGTTTCAACCATATTTCAGAAATTGCTATGCATATCATGCTTGTTGCCATTTTCGACTGAATTTGAAGATTTTAGACTGGAATTTGTGTTTAGGGTTTGAGAAATTTGGGGAAATAAGTGCAAAACCAAGAAATTGAAGACATCAACTGAATTTGAAGATTTTAGACTGGATTTTGTGTTTAGGGTTTAAGCAATTCGGGAAAATAAGTGCTAAACCAAGAAAAAGGAAGACGTCGACTTAAATTGAAGATGTTGAACTAAATTTCATGTTTAGAGTTTGAGAAATTTAGGAAAATAAGTGAAAATGTTTTTTCTTTTGCAAAATAGATGTAAAGTAGTTGTTTCAAATTTTCAACATCTTTTCGATATGCCTCTTGCAACTTCGTAAATAATTGTTTATCGCGTCCTTGTGGATCGGGAATTGCTTGAACAATAGTTGACCAACGTATATACCATCTGCTAGATAATATCCTTGCTTGTATACTCTACCATTTATAGTAAATCGAATTTGTGGCTAAACCTTCGACAACATCATTGAAAATAGGTGAGCTATATAATACATTAAGATCATTACACGCACCTGGTGGACCAAAGTACGAATGACAAATCCAAGTATCATATGGTGCTACGGCTTCAAGTATTATTGTAGGTTTGCCATGGCGCCCAGAATATGTACCAGCCCAAGCGGTGGGACAATTTTTCCATTCCCAATGCATACAATCCACACTTCCTAGCATTCCAGGAAATCCACGTTGCTCTGCTTTTTTAAGTAGTCTAACCATGTATGCATTGTTAGGTCGTCGAAGATACTCCTCTCCATACACTGCATTGACAACACGGCAAAAATGCTTCAAAGTATCTGAAGATGTGATCGCTGCTATTTTTAGATACTCGTCAATTGCATCTGCAGGATATCTGTAAGCGAGTATATGAAGTGCAGCTGTCATCTTGACATGGGGTGAGAAACCTTGATTTCCGGAGGCATCCGGCTTTTGCCTAAAGTAATCGTCAAAATTCACAATATCATTCATATTTCATAAAAATAATTCACGCCTCATACGATTTCTATTTCGAAAATATTCAGGAGGATATAAAGGACAATCTACAAAGTAATCATTCACAAGTCGCTCATGCGCAGCTCTTCGATCCCTTCTTATGGAATTCCGGCGTGATGATGTTCCTCCGTGTTGTATTTTGCACTTTCCCTGTGAAGCCAACATGAGTGATTGGTATTCCACATACATCGTTGTCATCATTGTGTTGCCTTGGTTGTCGTCGTCAGAGGAGGAATTGCCGCTTCCTTGTTGTGCCATTTCTTTTTATAAATATGTAGATGGATTGTATATAGAATGTGAGGTGATTGTGTATAGAATGTATGGTGATTGTGTAAGGGGTGAGGAGTAACATTATATAAGAAAATGAATAGATAATAGATAAGAATTGGATGACCAAGATTGAACATGAAAATTCAATCTAATGGATTGTAGTTGGATAAGATAATGAAAATCTGAATAAGATCATCAAGATGTGGATAAGATGATTAGATAAAAATTTAATGGTCGAGATCAATTGAAATCATATCCAAAAGTTGTAGTTCAATATTTCAGATAATTTCAGAATTTTTCATGGAGGAGATGTGAATTAGATAATTAGATAATAATTTAATGGACGGGATCAATTGAAATCATATTCAACGGTTCTAGTTCAATATTTCATATCTTTTCAGAAATTTTCATTTTTTGGATCAAAATGTGTATTAAAAATAATTAAGATTGTTCAAATAAAATTTAACTGTCTACAATCTCGTATATAAATAAAATTTGAGCCATAAACAAATTACTACATAAAATAATCCGTAACATGATTTAGAGACTCAAAATTATAGAGCCCTCCCATTGTGGATTTGTTTTTTTTTAAAGACCCCAAAATTTTACCGGGTCTCCATTTGGGTCTCCAAAACAGAATTTGGAGACCCAATTTGAAGACTCTATTGGAGATGCCCTTATATATTTATTTTATTACTTTAAAATCTCCTCCCATTGAAATAAATTGTGAGGGCATTTCAGTCCGTCAAAAAATCAAAATAATCAACTTCCGTAAAAGGGTAAAATATTGTGTTCACTTAATTTTTTGATAACGTCATCAATTTCCGTCCACAAAATGGACGGAGGGGCAGTAAGTTGAGACATTTAACGGAGGAAGTTTGAGCAATTTTAACTAAGAGTGGATGGATCTGCAATTAACTATTTAGGAGGCGGTCGAAGTGAAATTATCGCTTGAGAAATATGATATACTCAATAACGTAGCCGCGGTATTTAGCAAATCTAGAAGGAAAAAATACCACTAGTCGAATTTCAAAGATTGCGCCCGGATAATTTAGGGTTTTGAATGGGAACTTTTGGAAGAAAAACGAGAAGAAAATGAAACTGGAGCATGTGCAAAATTCGTGACTTTTGCCATCCAAACAAATCCCAGGTTTAGACAGCGGACCAAAAATGAAAAAATAGGGGCACATTCGTGTAATAAAATCAATTCTGTAGTAGGTATGGTACGGTACGGTATTACCATGGTATTGATGCAATACCATTACCGTACCAATCAATTGCGGTACAATACCAATATCGTACTGAATCAAATGGTAAACCGCTACTTTGGTATTTTTTCGGTAATCTTCAGTTGGTATACCGTGGTACTTGACAAGTGGTATTTTTTTTTCACCCGTACCTAGTCCCTATGTGGTTCCGGTGTTTTCCACATAAAGTAGTTTGTGAAATAAGAGAGCGCGAAGTCATAGTTCAAGTATAATTGCCAACATTTTCTAGGTTGAGTTTGTCACACTTGTCGTGTATTTAATGCGGTATACATCTCTTATCCAAAAATAAAAATATTGCAAGCAAAACATAGTAGCATACATAAAAAAAGAATTTAAAACATAGAAACAAGATTACGATGGATTAAAGCACAAACAAGATTATCGGGTGAAAAAATAGCACGATTAAGCAGCGATTGTACTGTGACTGCCATTAGTCTTCTTGCTTAGGTTGTTTCTTCAACATCTGATCGATAATCAGGCCATCGGTTAGAGCAGAAGTCGATATAAGCGATGCCTTCAATATACTTAAAGCCTACAACATAAAGAATTAGTACTATCAATATATATATGTGTCATATAGAAGATATATATATATATATATATATATATATATATATATATATATATATATATATATATACTAAAATGAAATAATATTCAATTAAAAATACCTCTTCCAGCCCAACCTTAAGCTCCATTTCATCGATGTCAGATAAAGGTATTTTGAGGCATTCGAGAATGGAAACGGTTGAGGACATACAAAAGGGTGTTACAGTCAAATCATCGTTTATCTTGTACATTCTTGGTCCCCTCACATATTTCCCCTGCCCTTTCACAAAATTGATAGACGAAAACTTTATAGTACCCCATGCATGAGTATAATTAGAAGAAAGACTTGTTTCACTCAGAGGAAGAATCTGGTTTTCGGAAATGTATCCATGATGTAGCCGGGGATTCATTAGCATGTTTTTCGTACCTGCAGTCGATAGATACTTGTCTTCGATAAAATCCGCTACACTCTTGTACAAATTGTCTATACTCGTAAGACAAGTGTTACTTCCCAAAAGACACTCAACTCCTCCTAGTGGAATGGCCAGAAAACTAAATAGAAAATCTACGAAATCATTCTCAGCTTGAGCAAACAATAACTTATTGTTCGATTTTTGTAAAATCACTTTTAAATTCATTTTCTCAAACTTAGAAGTTGCTTCGTTTTCAACCTGAAGGGGTAAAACTCCCGGTTCATATAAAATCAACCTCGGACTTTTGTTCAGTATAAGGTCAGTCAACGGAGTCCTGGACAACAGCGACCCTTTGAGCAAATCCATGGTCTAAAGCAAACAAGGACAATTAATTAAACAGTTAAAAAAAAAAGTCTTTAAAAAAAAAATCAAACCAAGACTACAATTAATCCAAGATACTAACCTCATTGAATCCAAAACTAACATTCCTTAGCTCCGCACCGTTAGTGTATGTAACGTCGAGATCTCTCAGAGTTTGCACGTAACCCTTCATATTAGGAAGTATTCGAAGATCGTCGGAGATTATAAAAGGCACTGCGTTATTGGTAAAAACTCCACCAGCATCCTCATTAGCTTGAGACTCCTTTTGACCTAATTCTCTTTTCATTTTTACTCCACAACAGCATGTAACAGTATCATAGTAAATACTTAAACACGGGAATCTGCGAGCCTGATATGCTTTACAAGCGTTGTTTTTGCAAATAAAGTATCCGATGGGCTGAGTTTCGCTAATATCAAGTTTTAGTTTAAGACATTCAGCTTCGAATGAGCTTTTCGGATTCAGAAGCACATCCTTACAACCCTCTGTCCAGAAATGGACATTATCGAGATTCGACAAGCCATTGTATAAGGTTGTTAAGCTTCCAATATTGAAAGGTGCCCCATGCAGTTCATCTTCATAGTGCTTCTTCAGAACTCTTACAATAGTACCCAATGGCAGTGTCAAGAAGCTAATCAAGACATCGATGAAATCGCTGTCAGCTTCTGCAAATAGAACTTTGTTTTTCTTTTTGTTTATCATAACTTTTAAAGAAAACTTTATTTCTTTAGCATCAGACATTTTTTTTTTTTTTTGTGAATAAAACCCTATGAGCCTCATTCAATTTTATAAGGCCAAACAATAAGGCCAAGGGTCATAGACAATTACTAATTAATCAATATGTTATTTTCTTTAATTTTTAATCAAGAACTTTATAAACTCACGAAACTTATAATAACGTATTTTCATTTTCATTTTAAAGGTTTTTTTGGGTTTGAAATGCGACTATTGGGGACGCAACTTAATTAATGGGGCATAAATGAATAATATATGATAGAGGTTAATTAAAATCCAATTTATTAAAGTCTCTCCATATTTTCTTGAAACTGTGAACAAATTATCTTTCCAGTTTGTTTCTTGAGATTTGATGCACCGTTACATGCATGCACCAATCTCTACCTTTTTTCTTCTTCTTTTTTTATTTATTTATTAATAAATTGTAAAATGATGGCTTCACAAAAAAATATGAATATTTCATCCTAATATTTTGGATTTTATTTACACTTTGGAGTTTGAACCTCTAAGTATACCGATTATCACAAACAATCCTTGACTAGGGGTGAAAATCGGACAAAATGGACGGGAAATGGCTTTTTCGAAAAATCGGAATGATTCCGATTTCGGAATGCCTCAGAATCAAAGGAATTTCAAAATTTTCGAAATTTACATTAGTTTATAATTTTTTGTTTCAAAATCTGCATATAATGGAAATTTTCACAATATATTTCTATATTTTTTAAAATTTTGTAAAAAAATGCAAGAAAATCCAAAAGAGAGTTAATTCAAAAAAACACAATAAATAAAAACACATGTAGGAACAACAAATTAAAACGTAGATTATCTTATAAGGAAAAATGCAACATCAAATTTCTGATAGCAATTAATCTTTTCTAAGGTTTTAATTTACTTGACTCGATCTCTTCGGTATTTATATTTTCATATAAAATATAACATAAGTTATATTATGGAATTACAAAATATATCGTAAAATAATATTATCAATTTCGAAAAACCATAGATATCGGAACTAAAATCGGATAGAAAATCAAAATTTCGAATAATTTTATATATTATATATTTCAAAAACCATAGAAATATTCGGAACTAAAATCGTATAGGAAATCGAAATTTAAGATAATTTAATATACCATTCCAAATAAATTCGGAAGAATCGAAAATCGGAATTTTTTTGAAAATTGGAATGATAAAATACGGTTTCAAATGTATATACATTCGGATTGCAATTTGAAATCTTATTCTGATTTCCACCCCTATCCTTGAAAGGTATATAGACTATAGTAACAGTACTAATGATGCTAAAAATTAGATCACCTTGACTAGTTGTGATAGAGGGAGCTGAGAGAGCAAAGTGGATTACTGCTCACGTGGTAGACGACCCTGAGATACCTGCGAACAGAGAACACGTGAACTAGGCCGGGGGTTGATCCAGCGGAAACCCCTCCGACGATCAAGTCAGACGTGCGGATTGTAGAAATAGTTGAGAGAATACAAATTATAGCATTACTCTGAAAATAGTGTGTACCTTTAATAAATGAATTAAATCGTTATTTGTACCTTGTCGATGGGGCTGAGGTTAATTTGTTGGGCCCAAACGAAGGTGATTGAGCTTTCGTAATAATGTTCTTCTAAATCGGGCTCGTGGCCCAGTAGGTAGAGAAATTGTATGTTTATTGGCTGGCCCAATTAGGCATATCATTAGCCCCCCACTCTCGAGTCGATGTGGGAGCCAAGTCGAAAAGGGTACCGAATCGTGTCGAGAGTAGATCGATGTTGTAGCGTTCCGTTAATTGTTGTTGTGACCTCGAGGAATTATAATTTTGATTTACCTGTCGGAAAGCGCGTGCAATTTGGTGGGGCACGTTGAAATCCGCGTGCGATTTGATGGAGCGCGTTGGAATCCACGCGCGAATTGGTGGGGCGCATTGGAGTTGCGCACAACTGGAGGGAAGGTGACGCGCGATTTGATTGGGACGGGCGATTTGATGGGATGACGGGCGATTTGACTGGACCCGCGATTTGATGGGATGTGATGAGGCGCGTGGGCGCGTGCGCTGCACACGTGTAGAAAGGGAGCGCGGGCGCGTGCGCTGCATGAGCGGAGAGATGTAGTCCGAGCGCGTGCAATGCACACACGAAGAGAGAAGGTGCGCAGTAAGGCTATGTGCGTGCGACACACGCACGCTTTGGCGCGTGGCTGTAGCACCCCCCTCGGGTCGGACGATCAATCGAACCGGTTTATCGGAAAACTTTAGATAGCGGAAGCAAAAAGGGATCTCTTTGTAATTTTAAAACTTTCGAGTAGGACCAAAACGTAATTTCTAAAAATATCTTTTTGGGTCATCTGAAAACTTTTGAAAAACCTTGAGAATTTCGAAAACTCCTTAGGGTGATTTTGGTCGTTTAAATTTTTCGTTTTAGAAATAACTTTGGAAAGGGAGATTATTATTCGAGTGCTACGTTTATCTAACTATAGGTTTCACTTTTGGTTCGAAAATAAATCAGAGTTTAAAGCTATTTGGTGAATAGGGATTTTCGGGTAGGAAATGCAATTATCAAAATAAGCGGACCAACTATATTAATACCAAAATGAGGCCCGTACTAGGGTAAGAGTTTAATTTCCCTAACGGGGAAATATTAGAGTTTAAAGAAAACGGAAATACGGGAATTATCTATAGTTTACATCACCAAAATAAAATAAGCATAATTTATAGACCCCTCGTACGACCCTCCAAAAACCTCCGGCCAAGACTCCGATCCACTACTCGGTCCATTCCGGCAAGGGATTACTACTATTACCTGCAATCAAAGAAGTATCTATATGAGCTATTAAGCCCAGTAAGAAATCCGAATGGATAACGAGGTTTTAAAATATGGTTTTACGTATTTATATAATATATACACATAAGCATCACATCTTACCATTCGTCGGCAAACAAACACACACACAAACACTCAATCTCATTTAAACACGTAGATCACTCAAACACGGGAAAATTACCGAATTACCCTTTTCGTGCAAATTCATGAATGAAAACATTTTCTGTTGTTCGGATCCGTGAAAAATTAACTTCTTTACTTGGATGATAAGCATATTATTCTGAGCCCGTTCTTTTGGTGGAATCAGACCACCCCTTTAACTATAGTAACTATGGTTGGAATACCGGCCCCCCGTATCCCGACTTATCCAACCCAAGCATTCCATTAACCTTTCCTTTCGTAAAAATGAAATCTCTTTTTATGCAAGACCATGAGACGAATGAGACTCTAATACGAAAATGACCATTTACGACATCACAAATATCAATCAACGAGCATACCAACAAACCAATTATCCACATAATATACATATATACACGGCAATCACACACACATAATACACACATACATATATAAACACTTAAGCATAGCACATAATTCACAAAACCACTATCACAATATATTATATGTCCATATATTATAAATCACACACACACACACAGCACACACACGGCACATACATACACATAAACATGCAGCCCCCAAAACATACTTTAAATGGCATTAAATTAGCAAACCATGCCCTTAAAGCACCAACATTTTTATCTTTTCATTAATGGGATTTCTCCCACTTTTATTCATTAAATGAATTAAAATTCTTACAGCCCCTTAACATAGTTCAGCTGCAGATTTTTAACCAATGTTATCAGAACCGGACCGGCTATAGGACCGGACGATCATTTGGGTCATGGGTTTATAGGGTCGAACCGGTTCAACCGGGTTTTTGATTTTTTTTAATATGCTATTATTTTACTAATTTTAATGTTTTAAAAATATTATTTTCTTTATATTTTGAATCTCCGAGTTATTATTTTCGCTTTCATCTACTTCACCTCACTTTTTACTATATTTTATTGCTTAGATTCTATCTTTTTCCATTTTTTATTCTTCAAATCCGACAATCGGTCACCCCTATTCGATCACCCATGATCATATCTAACAATCCTTCGACCACTCATGATTAGATCTGACCACCCACTACTAAGTATGTGAAGGTTCGCTCAAATCTAGCCATAAATAACCAACTTAACGGTGATTTGAAACGTTTTGGCAAAAAACCGGGTTCCTTGACTAACTCGGCGGTTCTCGGGTTTTACCCGGTCGAACCGGATTTTGTTCATTTGACCCCGGTTTTTGATTTTTCCGGTTTTAGATGTTAGACCGGACCGTTTTATTGCCGAGTCACGGTCGAACCGGTCCGACCGGCCGGTTCGGTCCGGTTCTAATAACATTGTTTTTAACCATTAATTCACATTCTCACAATTAATACTCAAGACATAATGTTTAAAACACAAAAGTTCTATTTATGACACATGCACAAGCAATATTTCGAAATAATAGCAAATAGCATCTAAAAATTCTCAAATTTAATATATGCTACCTAACTGACTAAATGAACAGATTTAAAAATAATTTTGCAGTTTCCTTAAAAATCGAATTTATAAAAATTAAAATACTCGGCAAGTGGTGTTTGAAGCTAAAAATTGATTTTTCCAACAAATATTAATCCCAAACTATGGCCAATTAGAGAATAACAAAATTCCACTTTCTCCTACTGAGATTTTAAAGGTGAAAACATTTTTCATGCTGAAATTTCAAGAAATTGCAGATTAGCCCTAAAGATTCATAGATCTACACATGCAACCCCAAAAATCTTGAATACTCATTTTCTTTCTCCAAATTTCCAAAAATTCGAAATATTAAATCTTTAAACACAAAATGCTTAGATTCACAGATTATAACATGGATTAGACATGCAATAACACAAATATCAAGATTAGCACAAAATTTCGGATTTTACACAAAAAGCCCTAATTTTTCGAAAAGTGAGGAAATCTTTTAGGTAGTTTTAAAAATCCTTTTTCATACTATGATACCCTTCGATTGCAGCAAGAAATTCGAGATTTCTTACCTATTAATGAGTGTTGGCCGAAGAAAGAAAAACCTTCAAAAGAAAAGAGGGTTTTTAGA